TATTTAAAGAAATACAAAATTGCAATTAATACAAATCACAAGAAGACCATCGATTTTTGGAAAATACAATGAACTATTTTTTTTTTTGCATACAAATGCCTGCGAAATGAATTTTTAATTTAGCACAATTAGTAATCATAAACACATTCAAATAAAAGAAAAAAAAATATTTTCGCAAACCTAAATCCTCAACCAATAATAAAAAGATTTGTATAAGAATATTCATACAAACAAAAAGATATAGAATGTATTACAAAAAAATTCTAGAACCGCATAATTGCGTCAAGCATTCAAAGAAAACAAATTAGTCAAATAAAAAAGAAAAAGAAATAGAATGAGTATAGCAACAAATCAATCCAAACACATTTAATAAAACTCATTCTGTGCTCTCTAATAAACATGAAACATGTAGAAATTTTTAAATTTTATTATATTCGTTATAATGTGCTCTTTATATAATCATTTTGAGAATAAAAAGATGGATTACCACTATATCTTACTGCGGAACCAGGTCGTATTGTCGGTGGTTGTCTTGCTAAAACAGTATCTGCTGGATCAAGAGTAGAAAAATAATCATAACCTGTATAATAATGTAAAACACGTGGTTCTTGTTTTTGTTCAAATCTTCTGTCTATTAGATTTATTCGAGTTGGATGATAATAATCACGTTGAATATAATCATGTGTAGGTTCCGAAGCATAGCCAATTGATTGATTCATTGCATTTGTTCCTGTTCGATGCCAATGTGGTGGAGATGGCCGTGGTTGATATTGATAAGGTGATGATGGTGTTCGATAAGATTGTGTTGGAACTGGTATTGAAGGTTGTGGTGGCATTGTTGTTGCCGATGGTGATGCTATAAGATTAGAACGATTGTGTTCAAAACTTTGATATGATGTTGATGGTTGCTGTTGCCGTTGTTGTTGTTGTTGCTGATGTTGACTATGTATATTAGTTTCTTGAGTAGTAGTCGTCGTGGATGTATAATTTGCAAGTGGTTTATGATTAGTATTTGATACATAATCCCTATTAATACCACCATTAGGTACTGCTGTTGGAAAATAACGACTCGGATGAAGTACTTGTGGATAATCATAAGGTTTATTTCTTTTTTTCTTATTTTGTCTAACAATGACAAATGTTGATGGACTTAATGTTGCTGGATAACCATTAAGATCGGCAAATGTTTCAATAATAGTATCATTGTCTACAGTTCTTTATAAAGAACGATAAAAAAGCAAAATTTATAATAAATCAAATATAGTAATACAAAAAAAAAACATAAAAAACTAAACTTACCTAAATGGTTTTCTCAAGAGTGAATCATAAATAGATAAAAGTATAGCACCTAAAAGAACAAGTATGACAGCAACCAGATTTACATAAAAACACCAATCAAGATCGCGTGGTGATTGTGAAACATTATATACAGAAAAACCAAAGACAAATAATCCCACAATACCAATACATGCTGAAAATATAATAAAATTTATTGCCTAAAAAACGTTTTAATCATTTTTCATATAAAATTCATTACCTGCTGGCCAAATGCAAAAGATTGCTAATATAGCCAAATAATAATGAAAACTGTTTCGACGTCGATAACAAGTAATAGAAGCTATAGTAATAATTAATGTTGCGGTTGTTAAAAACAGAAATACAATTTCAAGAGCTTGCCATGCATTAATACCACCTTGAACAAAAAAATAGATAAGACATATCAATATGTATATATAGAGTGGTGCTCAAAATTATTCATACACCCGACAAATAACGATCCGACGATGATATCTTTGTTTTTATTAAAGGTATAGAATTGTGGTTTTTGCGTCAAAATATAGCTAAGTATTGATGCTGTCTACACTGAAAGTTTCCGCTCTATAGAGCTTATCTTGATGATGTAAGGCTAAAAATAGTAAAATTGTAGAATTTTGATTTAGCTCAAAATTATTCATACACCTATTATGTGAAGTAAAATGATTGCAACATCGAACATTTTGCAAATATCTCAGCATGAGTAAATCCTATACCTTCAATTTTTTAAAAAGATGCGCAGTGAAAATCTCTACAAGACTGACTATGAAAATGCCTCATCGAATTCTCGTAATAATTTTTTTTAAAGCTAAAAGTGAAGTGCGACGAAGTGATGGACTGTCTTATTTTTGTTTCTTTCTGAATAACGGGACACATTATCATTTCGCAGTGCTTCACTGTTAGTTTTAAAAAAAATTATTGCGAGAATTCGATGAGGCATTTTCATAGTCACTCTTGTAGAGATTTTCACTGCGCATCTTTTTAAAAAATTGAAGTTATAGGATTTACTCATGCTGAGATATTTGCAAAATGTTCGATGTTGCAATCATTTTACTTCACATAATAGGTGTATGAATAATTTTGAGCTAAATCACAATTCTACAATTTTACTATTTTTAGCCTTACATCATCAAGATAAGCTCTATGGGGCGGAAACTTCCAGTGTAGACAGCATCAATACTTAGCTATATTTTGACGCAAAACCACAATTCTATACCTTGAATAAAAACAAAGATATTATCATCGGATCGTTATTTGTCGGGTGTATGAATAATTTTGAGCGCCACTCTATATATAGAAAAATGATCATATTCAATTATTTACTTTTAGATTGATTAAGACGACGTTCAATATAAGGACTATGAGGTCCGCCAGTAGAAAACCAACTATCACATGTATTATTTGTATAAGAACATAAACGCCAAAGACCATATCGATTTGCATTACCCTCAAAATTATCATGGAACCATGAATGTTCAACAGCAAAAACAATGATCAATGCAGTTACACTTAGAATTAATGATAAGATAGTTAGAACAAGAAACCACAGGATACTTAATCGCTAAAAATAAAATAAAATACAAAGATAATAAGATGTATTCAAAAAAACAAACAACTAAGGTCTTGCCGTGTGTGAATTTCGCGTCGTCATCCACAAAAAAAATACCGTCGTCTGTGTATATATTTATTTTACAAATGGTCTTCTCGTAGTTAAACCCAAATTCATCTAAATTTGGCGTAAAACTTTGTGGCAAACATACTTATATAGACACACACATGCACACTTTCCGATTTCCGTTTCGACCACGCTCACTCAAAATGTATGAAACAACAAAAAAAATTGAAAAAAGTAAAGTGCAGCCTTTCTTCTTTTTCTTTTAGAAGATTTCATTTCTTTTAAATGAAGAAAAAAAAAGAAGAAAATGTATATGTAAGTGAGATGAAAAACACTGTTGACATAAATTTTCATTCACATAATGTAAATGACAAGAAGAAAAAACCGAAAAAGAAAAGGTGCGATAACTATATAATTTGACAATAACAAAATCGATCAGAAAAGGAAATATAAGATGTTAACTAAATAATAAAGGAAAAATTATATTGATTCATATAGAATATGTTTGATTTTCTTAGTACGTTTAAAAACTATGATCCGATTTTTGTTTATCGATTACCTATACAAACCGCAGTACTTATACTATTCAATCATGCAGACTTCTTTTATTTCCTCAAGTACATTTAAGATGCATCTTACTTGCATTATAGTCAGACATCATTTTCTTTTTCATGTGCTTTCATTTTAGGAGCTTCATTATATTCTTTTCTCTCTTCATATAAAAATGAAAAATAAACATTTATTATGGTTCTCTAGTACGTTTATTAGAGTATTAGTAAATGTAAGATATAAAAGAAAAATGTTTACTTACTCGATCAGGATAATAACTTGGATAACGAACTAATGGTGGCCAATTTGGTGGTGTTAATCGATCGTTGTAAATCATGATTAAAACAAGCGTGGAAATAAGAGAATCGTACGAAGGTTTTTCTTTTTATCGTTTCATGGATTAGTTTATTCCTTCAATTTTTATTGGTATTAATTGTGATCATAAGTATGTAGGCGATTGCAGAGAAAAAGAATATGGGCGTATATATATATATATATATATATATGTTATACGGTTGATGTGATTGTTATTATATTTTCACTTTTATATACAAATAAATACCAAAATAATTAAGAAATAAAAATAAAATAGAAGTTGAAAATAAAGAAAAAAAAAAGTGAAAAAAAACGATTCAAGTGATGTTTATTGTTATTTTATTCTTATATTAATAAACGGTACTTTACACTTCGAAAACTCATATTTCTTTTCAAAATAATTTTTTTTTCTTCTCTTCATTCATCTTTTTTTTTTCGAAGACGATTAAGAATATGGAGTCTCTTAAAAATACAAAGCTCATTGAAATAAAAGAATACTTCTTATATATTATTGTTGATTTATTCTCTTTTTACATCCAATTACAACAATAAATATGATGGATAAGATTTTTTTTTTCGTACCACACATGCCTCTTATTTTTGTTGCCTAACAAGCCATGATCTGTTTTAAGCAAAATATAATACAAAAAAAAAGAGGTGTACATCCAAGTATTTGCAAGTACAGCAAAACCACTTGAATCAATGATGACTGCATTTTACCGTTTGCAAATAAACGCCAACGTGAAATATAATCAGTCAATGCACAAATTTTCTATCATCTCACAATTCTTTATTATCATATTTCAGTATATGAATTTTGAAAAGAAAAAAAAAGAAAAAAAAAAAAGAAACTCTTATGACAGAAAATATGTTGATTGATTTTTCTTTTATCTATTTTTCAAACCGGATATAATATATGTGTGTATGTATGTGCGTGTCTATATGCAAACACAAAGATTAATGTGCAAAACTTTTTCTGTATTTGATCCTGAATGATGAACAACAGAGTAAAAACAAAGGAAAATAGGAAACATATGTTGGCTTCTAGAGATTTATTGTCGTGCTCAATCTCATTGGATTTTTGATTAACTGATAATCACAGACAATCATAAAAGGAAACAATCTTTCTTTTTTTCTTTTATATTCCATTGAGTTGATAGCAACAGAGTTTTTCAATCACATACACACACGCAAAAGAAATATAAAAATGTTACGATCGAGATTTCTATTAATACTGTTCACTATTAAAATAATTTTATGTGTACAAGGACAAGTACAAGATGATGAAGAATTTAGTTATATGGTTGGACTATCTGAACCATTGCGAAGTACACTTGAATGGAATTATTATGAAAATGATGCAACACGATTAATTTTTCGATGGAATATTACATTATTGAATAATTATGGTGGTATACTTGCATTTTCAAATTATGATTTAAATACGAATAATTTAGATGTTATCATATTAAGTAATGATGAAAAAATTTATAATGCTTATACAGATGAAAATAGTTTATTATTTATACCAAAGAATCGTGTTAAATTAAGTTATACTATATTACATAGTGGATATATTAAAAATAAAAAAGAAAAAGAATATTCAATACAAATTATTCGACCAATTGATACATGTGATAAAGAAAAACGAAATTATATTATTGATAGTGGTACAACTCATTTATTAACTGGATTAATTACATATGAAGATTTTCAAAAACTTAAACAAAATCAATTAATAAAAATTGATATTGAACAAATGAATTTAACATTACAACGTGTTCAATTACTTAAAACTCGAGTAAGTTTATTAAGTTTATTTTTTTTTTTGCTTTAATTGAAAAATTTTATTTATATAAATTTAGGTTAAATTTAGGCAAATACCTGATGAAGATCCACATATTGATTTTTTAAATCAAGATGTAACTATACCAAATGTTGAAACAACTTATTGGTGTACACGTTTTAAATTACCATCAAATATTGTAGAAAAACCTCATCATATAATTCGTTTTGATGGTGTTATATCACCACAAAGTAATGGTATTGTACATCATATGGAATTATTTCATTGTGATGTTTCTAGTGATATTGATATACCAGAATATAATGGAGTATGTACAAGTGAACAAAAACCAATGGGTTTAACACCATGTCGTCGTGTTATTGGTGCATGGGCATTAGGTGCAACAAATTTTACTTATCCAGATGAAGCTGGTGGTTTAATAGGTGAACCAAGAAAATCATCTTATGTTATACTTGAAGTACATTTTAATAATCAATATTTAAAAAAAGGTATTGTTGATCAATCTGGTATACGAATATATTATACATCAACATTACGAAAATATGATGCTGGTATAATGGAAGTTGGTCTTGAATATAATGCAAAAAATTCTATTCCACCACAAACAAATAAATTTCGTATATCAGGCTATTGTACAGGTGAATGTACTGAAGTAACTTTACCAAAAGATGGTATAACAGTATTTGCATCACAATTACATACACATCTTAATGGTATACAAACATTTACACGTATTATAAAAACAAATGGTGAAATTATTACATTAAATATTGATCGACATTATAGTCCACATTTTCAAGAAATACGTCTTTTACCTGAGCCAATTTTAATCAAACCTGGTGACATGATTTTACATACATGTATTTATAATACACAAATTCGAACGAATATGACATTTGGAGGATATGGAATAACTGATGAAATGTGTGTTAATTATATGCATTATTATCCAAGAACAAATCTTGAATTATGTAAAACAAGTGTAAGAGACGATGCACTCGATCAATTTTTTGAAACAATGAAAGAGTAAATATTATTGAATAAAAAAAAACATCATTAGCGAAAAAATTATATTATTTTAGGTATGATTATGCTAATACAAGTATGAGTCAAACAGTTTATGAAAATTATAGATCAATACGATGGACTCCATTAACTACAGCTATACTTCAAGAATTTTATGAGATTGCTCCAATTCATTTATCGTGTAATGGTTCTGATGGAAATTATTCACCGAAATTTGAATGGACTCGAGAATATCGTCCTCAAGAACCTAAACAACGTGATGTACCACTCGAAACAGCTGCTAAATGCGTATGATCATGATTTTGAACATTGACATTCATGTATAATTTAAATGAAAAATAAACTAGCTATTCAATATTATGATTAAAAAGAAACACATACACGAAAGAATCTTAATGATCTTCTCTTTTTCTTTTTCTTTTACTCTATTAAATGCAACTTACTTATTTGATATTTGTGGAGAATGACAAGTAATTAAATGAACAATATAACTGAGTAAAAGATTGCAATGAATGGATGTCAAAAATTGAGTAATAGTAACTGTTATTGGCTCCTTATATATGTTGAAGAAGAATAAAGAAAAAGAATATTTAACGAAAAAAAACTGGAATAAATTTCAATAGAACTAGTGATTTGTTTTTGTCTCTATCGATTATCATAAATAACACCTATATTCTCTTTTTCTCTCTCTTTCTGCTCTCCTTTCTTTTTTTTCTCGTTCAAATTTTTTCTACAGGTAGTCTCAATCTTTTATATTTGTCTTGGCAAACGATTAAATTTTTCGTCATTCACAATATTCAATAGAGCCAATGATGATGTACATACCTGTATGGATGTGTGTTACACGAATTTCTTTTTTCTTCCTTTCTTTTTTCTTTTCTTCAATCATGTTGATTTTATTAAGCTTCTTTTGATGCCAACATGACGGTAGACATGAACAGTAAACGAATTCGAGCTTTTTTTTTTTTTTTTTTTTTATAAAGTACAGATTCTTTACTCATTGTAAAGCAACGAATAATATATGATATACCGATGATGCAATTAAATTTTCGAACAGATACGTGTGTAAAAAGTAAGCATAAGATCGTATATAGGGCATCATTATGCTACTAATGGAACAGTACACTTGACTAAGTGTATGTGTGTGTCAACATTCTTTGAATTATGTCTTACAGCTTTATATGAAAGAAATTATGTAAAAAACAAACAATACGAATACGATTTTAATGTAAAGTCATTTATTAATATACTTATAAGTAATTTTTAAATGCTGTTAAAGAATAAAAACGTGATAAATTATCCGTAAAAGAGTATATTAAAGAAAAACTAACAAATAAAATAACATTGATTTTCATTGTTTTTTTATTAATAATAATAATAGAAAAAAACCGATGAATCCTTATTCAATGAATTGATTTTTATATAACCATCACATGTTGTTTGAATGATATATACTTTTAAACGAAATTGCAATCGTATAAAAGTAACTCAATTTTATCATGACATATAGTTAATTCTATTTATAAAATTAATCATAGTTTTTCAAATTGTTTTTGAAAACTATTTAGCAATTATGCTCACAAAAGATCAAATTACTTTACTAATTAAAGTTCATGAGTTTACAAAAAAGAAAAATATCAAAAGTAAAGTTAACTTTTTGAATCATACGGACAAATCCATTCAATGAATTCCAAATAAAAACAAAAAAATAGTTCACTAGAAATCAAATTTTAATTTGTTTCGATTTTTTTAAAATATCAATCTGACGACATACTTCTCAGTGACGGATTTTATGGAAGGAGAGGCACTGTTAGAGCCCGTCAAGTTGGTTCTGGATTCGCTAATCTGAAAATTTTGGGTTTGACGGACTCGAAACATTTATGAAATATGTAAGGTGTGCTAATCAACGAATACGAAAAGTCGGAAAAAAGTATCTCATATCTTCGGAGTGACTATCCAATTCTGATTAGAATATTTCATTGAGAATATCAAGATGCGGTACGACTGGGTTCAGATCTCAAAGACATCCAATAAACCGAGTCCGAATCCGAAAATGTTGAATTCGATGATCTCTTGACACTGAAAATGATCATTCTTCTCGTCCGAAATATTTTTCGATTATTTTTTCAGCAGAAAACATCCAAATATAACCCGACACGATTTCTAATAGATTTAAAAACACTATCATCGTTTTCCTTTTCCGAAATCCTAGGTCAGTGACTGGGTACTTCTTTCATTTTGATCTAAAGATGACACTAGAAAAAATTTTGGATTTAAAGTTGATATTCTTTTATCTATTTAATATATTTAAAAACATATTTTAATACATTTATTTGATGAATATTCTAATGAATTCAAGGCTTTTTTTTCTAACCATATTATTGCTCATTAATGTATGTTGATTGGTTGTTCCCGAATTTATGGTTCAACAATAACAACATTTTTTTTGCTTTCAGACATATTTGGTTGGTTGATTGACATGTATTCTGACATTAAATGACTCATACATTGTTAGTCGATTCTGTTTTACTTATGCACTTGATATCCATGGTTTCGAATCAGTTTATTCTATGTGATAATTTAATTATTGAAAATTCTAAATTTAGTTTACAATTGAATAATACACTTTCTATTGAGAGAAAATTTATGTAAACATGTGTTTTAGACTGAAAATATTTTGCCTGTGCTGTTCTCTATCATTGTTATTCAAGTGATTCTTGGTCGATTGAAAGCAATATGTCAATATCCATTATTAGCATATGATAATTAGACTTTTTTTCAGTTATTAACTATATCATATAGAAAACTTCTGGATTTATTCATCGATTCAAGATTTCATATAGATGTCACCGGTAAGATATGTATCTGCAAATAATTACAGGAAAGAAATGTCTTTTAATTCCTCTAAGAAGAATATCATGTCTCTCTAATAGCATCATCGAAATGACATCATTGTACAACGACTTATGGTAATCAAATATTTATAAAGAAGTCAAAGTAAAAACGAACATCTATGAACTTTTTTTTAACTTCGAATGAACGACATAAAAGAACATTGACCCTATGTTTCTTTGTAAAATAAAAATATTATCTTTTACTTTCGGTCATCAAATAGGTCAAGTAAAATTGTCAATTCATATAGTGTATATATCAGATATGCATTCAAATTATGATTTTATTTTACTATATGGTGATATTCTAATACATGCTGAAGATTTAATACGTACAGATAAATGTAATGAACTTGAATATTTTTTACATTGGTTAAAAACTTTAAAAGAAAACTTCATTTAAAAATAATTATTGCTGGTAATTATGATACTACATTTGATAAAACATTTTATGAAACTAATTAGAAAAGATTGCACAAAAAAAAAAACGAAAATAGTCAGGCAATTATAAATATGTTTAATGATTCAATACTTCGTAATCATTATGGAATTACATTTTTACCGATTAAATATTTATTGATAGAAAAGTTCAATTAACATTTTACGAAAGATTTATTTAATAACAATATTAAATTAAATACTTCTTCTTTTTATTTAGTCCATAGCAACCTGAATATTATAATATTAAACGTCACAGTAAAAAAATTCATTCAATATGGATCAAAATTTCATTAGATACATACATATTCGTAATACATGGTCTAACATATGAAATTCTCGATTTAACAATACAACACGAATATATAGGTTGTATAACATTATATGATCGTATACAACTTATTAAACTATTACTTCATGTATTAAGATATAAACATGAATCATGTAAAAAACAATAAGATAATGAACAATATTTATTAATAAAGCAACATGCAATACATGTTATCAATCAATACAATCACCAATTGTTGTTGAGTTTTTTTTTAATAATTTTTCTATATATATATATATTAGTTAGTTCCGATAAAATCAATATCGATTAGAATAGTTATACATTGATAAACAGTTATGATTATTTATTCTATTTAATAATGAAAAAAAGAAAGATGAATCTTGTTATCAAGATTATCATTTGTCTTTTTGATTAGCCAGATAAAAATCCATAGAAATGTTATGTTCTTTTGATTGATATCATTCATTTGCCTGTCCTATATATCGTTGGAATATATCAGACAGTCTGAGAAATGTAACAATATTAACGAAATATCAGATAAAAATGTAAGAAAAAAACAAGAATAGAAGAATAATAGTTCGTTATATTGAGTGTGATATTTCTAACACTCTAGATAAATATCTGGTTGATAGGACGAGTAATTAGAACTGTTGTACTTATTTCTATTTCGTAAGACTTTTAACAAAAATTAATCATACTTTTTTCCTCCAAAGATTTCTATTTTATTATCAAAACCTAGAAGAAAATGATTAAGTCTAATTGACTTGCTGAAAAATCTTATAAATAATAATTATTATTCTTAACTATTCAATAGAATTTAGACATATGTTTAGTGGTGGAAGAAGGCGGAGTATCCTTCAGAAGCTTGTAAACCTTGCTCTTTCCCTAGAATTCCAGTGATCTATCATTAACATTGGAAGATAATACCTGTTTTCAGCTATAAACGAGGACCCACAAGAGAACCTTTCTAGATGTCAAATCATTTTTTTCCGACTGAGACGTTGTTAATTTAATGATTAATAGTAAATTCTAAAATAGTTTGGTTTTCCAAGCCTTTGTTCTCGAAATATTGAAATTTTACTAAATTTTTCAACCAAAAGCTGTGACCATGTGAAAAATCAACTTTAAACTTTGCACGAAGAAAATTTTCGATGAGATTAATTCATTGGATCAGTTATAACTTTTCTAGTATTTTTTATCCTGAAATATTCAATATTCGAAATTCTTTCATGTGTAAAAAGAAAATTTTGTTCATATATTTATATAACAGAAAAACTAAAATTTGCTCAATCACTTTGAAGTCGAAAGTTAATTTTTCACATGATTACTACTTTTTGTTGAAAAGTCCAGTAAAATTTCGATTATCTCAAGGACAAAGGCTCGTAAAACCAAACCATTCTAGAATTTTTTATTACTCATCAAATGAATATCGTCTCGGTCGAAAAGCAATTTGACACCTAGAAAGGATCCGTTGTCAGCCTCTCCACCAGAATTTTCTCTGTCTAAAAATAACAATGGCTTGAGCTGTATTATTTTTATTTTCAATACAAAAAAACAAGCAACTTAACAAATGCTGAAATGGGTTTTTTTTCGAATTTCGATAAGAAAAAAGGATTCGGTTAGGGCGCAATTCGAAATTCAAGTTAAATTTTTTTTTTCGTCTTTTTATACAT